GCTGGATTCTTGCTTCCACAGATCTTTTCAAGTAACAGTTGTTCATCGTCGAGCAATTGTCTGATGAAGTGATATTTGATCTGTATGTGCTTTGTTCTAGAGTGAAATGCTGGATTCTTGGCAAGGAAGATTGCACTCTGACTGTCACTATACAAAGTACCTTTTCCATGCTGGATCCTGCAATCAACATATCATCCACATATAGCAGTAGAATGATATAAGAGTTGTCAAAATATTTGACATAGCAACAATGATCAGCCTGACATTTTGTGTATCCCGTACTACACATGAAGTTGTCAAACTTCTTGTACCACTGTCTTGGAGCTTGCTTCAAACCATATAGGCTCTTCTTCAACTTGCAAACTTAACTCTCCTTTCTTGGTATTGCAAACCCCTCTGGTTGTTGCATGTAAATATCTTCCTCCAACTCTCCATGAAGAAATGCTGTTTTCCGAGAACACAGCTTTCACAAATGTCTAGATCAACATTTTTTAACTCTAGCAGCTTTCCCTTTGACTGAAGTATCTTCATCCCCTTTTGACTCATATGGCCGAGTCTACAATGCCATAGATGCGTTTGATTTTCTGCTTCAGTAGAGGCAATTATATCTGCTGATCTTGTGGTCATATACAGAGTGCCAGTTTTCTTTCCACGAGCCAAAACCATTGCTCCCTTTGATACCTTCCACATTCCTCCAGAGAAAAGGATTGAATGGCCACTATCATCAAGTTGTCCGACCGAGATCAACTTCTTCTTTAGTTCAGGAACATGCCTCACATTTTGCAAGTTCCATATAGATCCATTCATTGTCTTGATTTGCACATCTCCTATACCCACAATATCCAATGGTTGTCCATCGGTCAGATAGACTACCCCGTAATTTCCAACAGTATAATTTTGCATCATTTCATGGTGTGGAGTATAGTGAAATGAAGCTTTAGAATCAAGAACCCAATCATCAATAGGACTATGTACTGCAAGGATCAAGGCATCTTGTACCTCGTCTGTAGTGACATTTGCAGAATCAGCTTCAGGTTTCTTTGGTTTTGTGCAACTCCTCATGAAATGGCCAGGTTTGCCACAATTCCAACATTCAACCTGCTTCCTGGGTCCAAACTTGCTTTTGCTTCTGTACCTGGATTTTGATCTGCCTCTGGATAAGCCTCTATCTTGTCTCCTTCCTCGAGTGTTGATGTTGAAAGCTGAACCTGAACTTGAGCTTTCACCTGAGTCTTTCCTTCGTACTTCTTTGGCTAAGATCAGGTCTCGGATGTCATCATATTTTAATTTGGATTTTCCGGCTGAGTTGCTTACGGCTGTTCTCATACCTTCCCAACTACTTGGAAGTGAAGCTAGCAAAATAAGTGCTCGGATCTCATCATCAAACTCAATTTCAACAGATGACAATTGATTTGTGATGGTGTTGAAATTATTAAGATGCTGTGTAACAGAGGTGCTTTCTGTCATCTTCAGGTTGAACAGCTTCTTCATCAAGTGCACTTTGTTATTTGCTGACGGCTTCTCATACATCCCAGACAAGGCTTCCATCAATCTTGCTGTGGATTTCTCTTTTGTAACATTATGTGCAACTCTTCTTGATAATGATAGCCGGATAATGCCCAAGACTTGTCTATCAAGAATTTGCCAATCTTCTTCTGACATGTTTTCTGGCTTGCTCCCCAACAGAGGAAGATGAAGTTTCTTCCCATATAGATAATCTTCAATTTGCATTTTCCAATATCCAAAATCAGTTCCATCAAATTTTTCAATTCCTGCAGCCTTTATTTCATCAGCCATTTTTACTCCTTCTCGGATTTGAATCTCAAAAATCTGACCTTACAGATGTGTCCGGAATGGCCAAAAATGCTGGAAACGACACTGAGATCACCCAAATCGGACTTCAGATGGCTCCGATTTAAACAATAAAAAATTTGGGATAACTGGACGCTGCAGATGAAGCCACGTGGCAGGAGGAATAGTCGCTGCGCCACATCGGATCAAAACCCAGTGATGCTGACGTGGCTTAGCTGACGTGTCAGACACGTAGGCAATGTGGGGTCCGTCCAATCTGACGTGGCAGATCCACGGAGATCTTCGTCTGACGTGGCAGTGCTGCCGTGACTGATGACGTGTTCGATGACGTGGCTGCTTGATGTGGCAGGTGACTTGGCTGCTGACTGTGTCGAACGGCTGACGTGGCAGTGTCGAATTGCAGGAAACAGTGAGGAAGACGCGTGAGGCGCGTTGGGCGCGTCTGTGCGCGTGGGCAGTGCTGGGGACGGCGCGTACAGGTGCGTGCGGGCATGCAGGACGACGGATTTTCGTCGGGTTTTCACCAGTGGATTCCTCTCGTCGTCCTCTTCACGGTGGTATGTTCAAAAACACGTTTTGAGAACTTTTATTTTTGAGTTTGGATCAAACACCCTCTTTTTCAAGAACTTTCAAGAACAAGCTCTGATACCAGTTGTTAGGAGATCCAAACATTCAAACACACACAAATTTACGTGGTTCGGCAACTTGCCTACTCCACGGAGCTACTGGTTTGTATTAATCAAGCTCAAAAGCAATACAAACAACAAAACAAGGAGGAGGAGAAAACTTCTCAACTCAACTCAACTCTCACCCTTAGCACGCTCTCTGTGTTTCTCTCTATCTCGTGGTCTATCTCAGCTATCAATACATCTTCTATTTATAGCTGAGGAGGGAGATGATTGTTCAACAATGGTGGGCAAGTTAGGCACCCACCATTTGACTAT